TTTGATAAACTCAAGCAAGAATTGTGCGTTGCGTCTGCCTAACCGTATATACAGCAACACTGAGAGCAAAACACCGAGTAGATGCACCGTTTGATAGACCGTTCACTATATGTGTATGTATATATATATATATATATATATATATATATATATATATGTAAACGTATAACACACGAGTAGCTTTGCAGGCGGTGTGGGCGAAGGCGTAGAAGAAGAAGAAGAAGAAGAAGAGAGCAAGTGAGTGTTAGCTGCGTGTTGTACCAACGTCTCTCTGTTTCAAGTTTTAAGTAGGAGTACACGAACATATATATATATATATATATATATACATGGTTTTGCCAAAGGCCGCCCGACGATGGCGGTGGTGGCGGCGGCGGCCGACCCTCGCTTCGCCGTCTTCGCTTCCATTGGCTCGGCTTCAGTCGCTTCACGGTTTCCGGACTCGACGGATCAAACCCCGTCCGTTCGACCATCCATCCGTCGTCTGTCCATCTGTACTCGTTGGCACCACAGGTTAGTTTGCTACGTGTGTGCGTTTTTTGGAGAGCTTTCGACTGGGTTTTTTTTTAATTTCTTTTCTTTTTTTTTTCATTCATAGAATTCAGCGTTGAAAGCTCGAGCTTTTTGTTGGCGCAATGGGATGATTATACGATCAACGGGGGAAAATTACCGTGAAATTTCACGAATAACGTTTTAACAGTAACGCGCCACTGTTTTCAATCGTCATTGGTTTTTGTTTGCCAAACAACTCGTGTGAGCTTTTATCAAAGTGAAATTTACCGGCGCCCCATCACCTGGTTCATACTCTGAAAATCGGTAATAATTGTGAATGCATCCATCGCGGGGTGGTCGAGCTTTTAAACTCAAAATAAATATTATAGCTGTGATGATAAAACACAATTAGGGTCTCCGTAAAAGAAAAACATGCTAAAGTCACTTATAATTGCAAAGTGTGAATACAAAATTTGATTTTCATTGTAGGTCGATTGGTAACATGGATCAAAAATTGTGCACAACGACCTCGTTTCGTTGTTTATTCGCGTCAAAGGAGGGTAAACAGTAAAGATGGGAAATCGCATTATTCGTGTTGCCGAGCTTCCTTCAACCTTGTTTACTTGAAAACTAATTTTTTAGACCTTTTTTTTGCTGTAAATGAATGTTGTATGGTGTGTTAGTAGCCGTGGAATAATTTTCACCCCATCCTCCTCTGTGTGCTTGCCACGTAAATTTGTAAAAAGTATTTTGAACATTAAATTACGTGTACGAAAAATTCTTTGATACGATCATTAAAATGTTCAACCTTTGCTTTTATTGAACAGATAATGTNTAATAAATTTTACCTATACATACAAAAATAATAATTAAATCATGTTACGAATATTGGATACATTATTATATTCAAAAATTTCTTTCCAAACTATATTTTCTATCTCTAAACTGTTTTCCCTATCGACTTGAACAAAAATTCCATTTTTATTTTTGCATCTTGATAAAGCCTGCACGTATAATTTACCATGAGAAAATAAAGTTTTTTTTTTGTATAATCCCACATTATCAAAACTTTGACCTTGAGACTTATTAATAGTCATAGCAAATGCTACAACTGATGGGAATTGTTTTCTATATAAAATAAAAGGTAATGATAAAGTATTTCCAGTATTTAACGTAATTCTTGGAATGAAAACTTTATTATTAATTTTTTCTCCGGTTACTATTTCGCCTTCTACGTTATACTTCAGTAATTTAGTAATTCGCAATCGTGTACCGTTACATAATCCGTCTGATATACTCAAATTTCGAATTAACATTACTATTGTACCTATTTTTAATTTAAGTTCATGAGGTGGCAAGCCTTTACGAATGTTGTTTAACATTTCTACGGGAAAATTTATATAAATATTATCATCTGATTTATCAACACCTTTATATGTTGCAGTATCGATGCTGTAATAAGTTTTAGTTTCCCCATGTAATTTACTTAAAATCTTATTGTTTAAAAAAAAAGTATATTCATTATGTGAAGTTAGTATCACGTTATTGTCAAAACAGTTGCTGTAATTACCAAATATTTTGGTACAGACATCATCTGTTATCCAGGATTTAGGAATGTTAAATGTTTCTATGTCCCCTTCTCCAATTCTTAACAATAATTTTGAAAATTCGTTATTACTAGAACGGATATTATTTTGTAATCTTAAAATTTTGAAGAAGTTCCATAAAAATGATGATTTAATAGTTTCTTCTATTATTATAGTTCTATTACCGTTTTTTATAACTGGAAGGATTTGTCGAAAATCTCCTCCTAATACTATTAATTTATCACCAAAGCAAAGTTTTGTATTACACAAGTCTCTCAACGTTCTATCAACGATTTCTAAAGCTTTTTTCGGAATCATAGAAGCCTCGTCCCATATTATTAAATCAACTTCCCTTAATTTTTTTTTTCAGTTTCAAATTCTAAAAATACACTTTCAATATTATCTAAGTCTAGAGGTAAACGAAAAGTTCTATGACTGGTCATACCTTTTGGTAGTAATACAGATGCAATTCCTGTCCAAGCCATTGACAAAATATTTTTACCTCTAGAAATAAAGTAATAAATGAGTGTCTTATATAAGTAGGTTTTTCCGGATCCACCAGGACCATCTATGAAATATACTTTTTCATCTTGTTCACAAATAGTTTTAAAAATTTTTCTTTGATCTTCATTTAAATTTGTGTACATTATATCGAACATTTTTTTACTGAAAGATATTTCCTCAATATTGCAATTATTTATATAGTTGCTAATGGTTGGTGTCGGTAAACTAAAAGACTCACATGATTTACCTTCCGATACCAAAATTTGATTAATATGTAGAAGAGCACAATTATTATTATCATTATCGAAGTCTTCCGTAAAATATTTTTTATATTCATTCCATATTTTATCTCCTTGAATGTTTTCTGAAATCAAAAACCAAGCAAAAAATTGTCTTAACTGGTATGGAAACATAATTGTTATGGCTTCTTTAAAAATATTGTCGATTTCAGAATCATGTTCTATTAAACCCATTGCAATTGCAGTATCCCTGAAATTTTTATATGTTATTCCATTATGTTTTTTAACGTCTTCAAACGATGTAGCCCCATGTAATTTATTTAAAATAAGTTTTTTAAATTTGAAAAATAAAAAAGTTAAGAATAAATAAGAATAAATACACAAAAATTGTAAAAATGTATTTCTCATAAAATATTCAAAAGTTGGGGGGTTGGCGCGCAGTGCGCGCAGGGGGGCGTGAGCCCCACTAGTGTATACATATATATGTGTATTACGTCTATGTCTAGACGTGCCATTTGCGGCAAGATTAGAATGCATCTTGTACCCAGAAATCGACCTCAAAAAATATAGATTATATTCGTATCTATGATGTTATCTAAAATCCATCATCTATTATCTTAGATGAGTATCATAAATAAGATTGGGTAAGGGCCAGGGGGTCTACTTTTTGAAGGTAGATTTCAGGGACAAGATGCACTCTTATCTTGCCACAAATGGCCCTTATAGTTGACAACTGTTTATTTTCTATTCATTGGTGTAAGGGTGCAGTCCAATGGTACGAAATAGAGCTCCGCAATAGACTGTCCGCAATAGAAACAGCTTATCAGAGCTATTGCAAATTTTCAAGCTATTGCGGATGATCGAGCTGTTGCGGTTTGTGAACGTTTTTATATTTTGGCATGCAATTGTCAGAAAGCTTTGAGGTTATGTAAGGTATAATTTACTTTGCTAAGAGAACGGGACTAAACCAAAAGTTATATATATTACAACTAGCTTCAGTATGTTTTGACAGATTTTTATATTTTGAAAGGAGTTTTTTTACATAAATGGTTGCCAAAGTTAGTATGGTCTTTTGTAGGATACTAATTTTCATGTCAGACATTTCACACTGTGCTCCAAAACATACCGACAAAAATAAACAATCACTGTTGATCAGCTGATTATGTTATTCTATTTCGGAGAGACAAAGTTCGCTATGGTCACATGTGCAGGAACGACCGATGCGTAACTTGTTTACACCCGTGAGTGCGAGTGAGAAAGAGATTCTTCGAACCTCTCACTGGCACTCGCTGGCCTACAAGGGTTACGCATCGGTCTTTCCTCCACATGAGACCATAGCGAACTTTGCCTCTCCGAAATAGAAACGTCCGCAATAGCTCTAATTGGCTGTTTCTATTGCAAACAGTCTATTGCAGAGCTCTAGTTCTTACCATGATACTGCACCCTAAGTTGCGGCTGGTTAATAAAAAAGACTACACGGCATGGCACTACTATAATTATCACATTACTCTCCACCACTATTAAATATGACCGAAATATTTCTGATCTCCACGAATCAAAAGGTTCCTGAATTCTGGTGAGAGTGGCGACTGGTTAAAATTTTGACCACCTTCTAATCTCAGCTCTTGGTCTAAAAGTAGTCAAAAACTGGGCCCAAGCTTGGCTGCCTTGCCAACCACCTTGGCCGCAGCTTGGTCCCTGACTTAGTCTCCGGTAGGTTTGTAATACGGCGCTGACTTGTATGCAGCTTGGTCTGACTTGGCATAACTTTCGCCCAGTAGTCGCACAATTTCGTCTGCAAATCAGTATAATACAGAGACGTCTATATACATATATATACGCACGTCTAGACGATCACTTTTTATTTTCTATCTGTTAGTGTAAGTTGCGGCTGGTTATTAAAAAAGATTATCCAGCAGAACCATAATTACCACATAACTCTTCACCACAATAAAATATGACCGAAATATTTCGGATCTCTACGAATCATAAGATTTTTTAATTTCAATGAAGGTTGCGGCTGGTTAAAATTTTTACCATCATCCTTCGGTCTAAGCTCTTGGTCTATAACGGAAACGGAAGCGTCGCTTGCTAAACCGATAGTGGGGGAACCTTTTTTCTGACGCAGTGACGTTCCGTTGGCTATTTCCGTAGCCATGTAGCTACGGCCATTTGTGTCTATGTGCAAATTATGCGTGAAAGAATAATCCCTATATCTCTATGGAAAGAATAGATCAAACAATTAGTAAAAAATTCTTGGAGCATAATTTAGATTTGATCAATAAGATATTTGACGGCATAGTTAGTGAGTCGACTGATGATTCTCTTCACAACTTTACAATCTAAAGCTTGACGTGCATTCTTCCTGCTAGGAGTACTTGATAAGTTATGATTTCTAATGGTATTTGATATTGTGTTATTTGTTATAAGACACTTTTTCATTGGCGAAAGATAACTTTGAGAATCGTGTGATTTCTAGAGTACTTGAAAAACCTTTCATAATTGAAAAAAAATTTTTTTTTATAATTTTTAATCATTTTTAAAAATGATTTTTGAATATTTAAAAAAGTTATTTTGGAAAGCCGACGAAGGAAGCAGAAAACGGAAATCACACGAATTTATTTCTAATGATTCGTCCATCAAAAAACCGTGTTCAAGATTCAAATCAAGTCAATTAAAAATCAACCGCTATGATGACAATGGTCGTAGTTTTAAGATCGTAACAGAATCTCCTGATGGTGCAGAGATTACCGAAAAATCTGTAATAGTTGAAACGAAATCTGATTTTGTTCAAACAAATCAATACAAGCTTTTAGCTGCAACAAAAGCTAACGGATTTAGTGATCAATACACAATTAAAAAAGATTCAGTCCTAGAAAATGCCATAGACCAGTCAACATTGTACCATACACACAGGTTGGCTGAAAAAAAGCAGTATGGTGAAATGTTATTAAATTTTATGCCATCAAAAACAAACTATATTGATAGAAGTACACATCAAGAAGTGAACCAAACTAATTTTTTCCAAAACATGTGTACAAACAAGAGTCAAGTGCCTTCAAGGCTAGCATACCATCGCAATAATTTAAACAACGTCTGTAAGAATCATACTTTTCTAGAAACATCAAGTAGTTCTCTAATGCAATGTCAAAATTGTTTTTTAGCACCCACCAAAAAACAAGAAAATATGTGTTCAAGATCTTTTATACAGACACCACTGAAAACTACCAAAACTAATACTCTAAAAGATGAAATTTCCTCAAAAAAAGTGTATAAATATGATTTTATTAATCATATCGATAGAAAATATGATGAACTCACAAAACAGTGCCAGAAAGAAGTGCTACACTTAACAAAAATAAAATGCATGTTGGCCAAACATAATCAGTCCATAAGAGAAACAGTTCTTGAAGATCATTTGAACCGTTCTATGAAATTGTGTAAAATTGTTCTTGATGAAAGAGAAGAAATACAAGAATCAAAGTTGTTTGAACTTACAACAGAAATGGTAGAACTCATAAACAGAGCATTGAGGACCGGACACTCAAATGAAATTCTTGTGCAAAGTTTTGGATTACAAATAACTAGAAAAGATATCCAAACTCTGGCAGGCTTAAATTGGCTTAATGATGAAATTATTAATTTCTACATGAATCTTTTAATAGAAAGAGGGAAGAACAAAAACTATCCAGATGTATACGCCATGAACACATTTTTTTATCCAAAATTAATTTCTGGTGGACATGTATCCCTTAAAAGGTGGACTAGAAAAATAGATATTTTTTCAAAAGATATATTAGTTATTCCCATCCATTTAGGAATTCATTGGTGTATGTCAATTGTAGATTTTAGAAATAAATCCATTAAATATTTTGATAGTATGGGTTCTCCAAATTATAAATGTTTACAATCATTAAAACAATATTTATATGCTGAAAGTATTGATAAAAAACATGTAGCATTCAATTTTTCAGATTGGATTTTAGAATGTGTCAAGAATATTCCGCAACAAATGAATGGTAGCGACTGTGGTGTATTTTCATGTATATTTGCTGAGTATGTTTGTGCTAACAAGTCTTTTGATTTTAGTCAAGATGATATGCCATATTTTAGAAATAAAATGGTTTATGAAATTCTAACAATGAAACTGATATAGTTACTCATACATTATATTTGCTTATGAAACGTTTTTTTTGTATATTCTTATAGGCCAATAAATTTTACAAAAAAAATTAATTCGTAGTTGTTTCCATGTAACATTTTTCCTTTCAATGTGTTATTATAAGTTACTATATTAAATAACGATGGTAATCAATTTTTTGAGTTTATCTTCATGAATATGCACGCAAAAAAAATTTGTGTTGAAAGAATACACGTTACTTGGGGTAGGAACTAAGGAACTTCCAAGTAGGTATACCAAACTTCCCAGCAAACACATTTTATCAAGATTTCTTGTAGATGTCTTGTAGAATTCTAATGTCTATCAGAAAGATATCTTTAGGGAATTTTACTCCAAAAACTCCACAAAGATGTCTTTCAGATGGACATTAGAACACTACAAGACTTCTACAAGAAATCATGAGAAAATGTGTTAGCTGGGGTTACATATATACAGCTCAACCAACCGGGCGCCATCTAGTTTAAAACGTTGTACTCGTGCAGCTCAAGGCAGTATAAGGTATTTTCACTTGTGACGTCATTCCAAGATGGCGCGATCACAGGGTTTTTTTTTCAAATTTGCACCAAATGTGCAAAACCAGCTGTGAAATTCACGAGGACGTCCCAACTAATGATAATGCGTTTAAAAACTTCAGGTTTTAATAAGCTATCAAAAGAACACTAAATTTTTTACATCTTCACTTGGTAAGCAATGCAAAAAAATGAATGAAATTATCGCGGGCATAAAGTTGATTAGAAAAACATTTTATTTTTTGTGCTTACAATGATCCAGTTATAACGAATTTTAAATATAGTCAATAGCGATTCCCGATGCATAAGAGGAAATTTTTCGTTTGTTTGCCAAAAGTGTAGTTTTAATGAAAATCAGTACAGAAAAAAAAGTACAGCTATCAGGTGGATTGTACCCATCTACTGGACTTATATATATATATATGGTTGCAAGCTTCCTCGCCTCCGCGATCATAACAAAGTCCCATAACCTCTGACGAGCTGTTAAAATTAAAGCAGTGTGTGGCAAAAACATGAATAAAAGTTGTTGTATAAGTGGTTGTCACGATAAATCTGAGAAATCTTTTTTTCGTATTCCATCTGTGATTTCTCCAAACCAGAGGTTAGTAGAGAGATTGCTGACTGCAATGCTACGGTGCGAGTTCACTTTTGGCCTATAGGGACTCCCCCCTACCACATAGCTCAGTGTAGGCTAGAATCACGAGTCTAGCAGAGGAGAGAGAGAGAGTGGGTTACACACTTGTAGTCAGTCTAACTGCGCCTACCGACTTGAACAGTCGGACCACAGTTCAATAAACGAGAGTACAGTACACGCAATAACGTCTATTTCTTTTGCCCAGGTTATATCTCCCTTCCTCTCGAGCACGCTTGCCCTACATTTGGTGACCCCGACGCTTACCACCGACGGTCAACAACGTTACGAACACCAGGGCAACATCAGAAAAAAGGTGGACCTGGGAGTTCGCATTTCTTCGTCGGCGAGAGGTCAAGGACAAACGGGATTTCTGGCTACCGGCAACTGAAACGCTTCCGACTCTGCTCAGCGGGACGACCGCCACCGGCTTATCGCCAAATCGACGATCATCGCTGTCGGCAAGTGCACAGTCGACGCGAGGGTCACCGTGGCATCGTGATGCGCGTCGTTAGTGCTGCGTGAGTACAAGAGTTCAGTTCGCAGAATTGAAAGCGTCGCAAGCGTTCAAAACCAAACTTCGTTTTGTTGCCTTTAGACGTTAATTATACAAGTAAGTCGTGTATTACTGTCCCAAAACAATTTTTGCAACAAAATTAGAAAGCTATCGAATAATTCAATTTTAGCAAGTAACAAAAGTAAGAAAACCGAAAATAAGTGTGGTGTATGATTCTATCGGGATGTTTTGAAAGTCGACCTTGGCTGCGTTACTCACTCGTGTCGTTGGAGCGAAGCGTTTGTTTTGTTCAGGCGTCTTGTGCTGTTATTTCGTTCGCTCAAACCTGTGGATTATTGTTGCGTTAATCGGAAAATTGGCTTTGTATTAAATACCAGTAGATAATCGACCTTGTTTCGGAGCTCTTTCACGGGCAAACAATAGTGTTGTGTATTTTTCTTTGGGGAGAATCGCGATGGCGGACGATCGTATTACCCAGCTAGAAGCGCAAATTCAGAGAATTACGGCACAGATGCGAGATAATGCAAATAAAAATTCCAATCCCGACCAAAACCCCCAAAACATCACAGCTATGTATAAACAACCAAAAACAAAAAAATACACAAAACAACAAACAACCAAAAAACAAAAAAACAAAAAAACAAAAAGAAAGAAAACACAAAGCCACAATAAAACAAAACAAAACAAAAAACGACAAAAAATCGGTTGCGCCAGTTGCCGATTGTTTTGTTAAAACCTGCGCACTTTGCACTCAAAAATTCGCAGTGGCAACCGTTGCCGAACGAAATTAAGGTACCGAATCTACCCCCAACTATACGCCATGTACTCAAAACTTATTCGGGAAAAAAACCTGCAATTAGTCAAAATAAAAAAGTGAATTTTAGCGAGGTGAGTGCAGATGGCTAGCGAACTTATGTAAATAGTTGTACATATGCGTGCGTAATGATTGTATTGTGATTAGGTTTAAAAGCGAAAAATCAACATCCCTATGTAAATATCGTCTCTGTCAGGCGTCATCCGAATTAACAGTGTTCAGCAATCTTGATTAACCCGTATAAGCGTTTAGGCGCTTCAAAAAAGAATTTATTGATTTTTTTACTGGATTACCGGATGGTCGCCTCGGCAGGGACGATTTGCTAGTTAAAAGTAAGCGGCCGAGCGATTTGAAAGTTTTTGATTGTCGTATTGGTACTCAATCTCATAAATTAATGTTTAAGTTGTTAAGAGCGAAATAATTGCATTTAAATGTATTGTAAAAAAGTTTGTACTTACAACTACTCTCTCCTCTCAGTTAACATGGTAAATGTATAAAAATTTAAGTTAAATGGTTTGTACAGTATAAGTTTTAAATTACGTTAAAACTTGACGGGGGCTGTATAGGGACTCCCCCCTACCACATAGCTCAGTGTAGGCTAGAATCACGAGTCTAGCAGAGGAGAGAGAGAGAGTGGGTTACACACTTGTAGTCAGTCTAACTGCGCCTACCGACTTGAACAGTCGGACCACAGTTCAATAAACGAGAGTACAGTACACGCAATAACGTCTATTTCTTTTGCCCAGGTTATCTCTCCCTTCCTCTCGAGCACGCTTGCCCTACAGGCCACTGTTTCGAGCGCCCCGTCGCGGCCAAACGGTCGAACCAGGCACACATATTTTTTTTTTTTATTTGTGAAGCTTGGAGGGGGTATACCAAATGTTTGCCGACGGAGAGAGGAGTGGTGCATAGCGAAAGAAAGCTACGAGTCTTTCTCGCTATATACTAACTTCTTAAATAAGGTCTTAGAAATTAAGGGGAAATAGAGAAGAAGAAAAGATTTTACATCTAATATTTGTAAAATACGAAAACCTATTTAAATTTACAATTCTCTATAACATATGAAAGTTTAAGAGAGGCTAGCCATATTGTTTTTCGAAAATTAAATCATACAAATAAATGTTTACGCAATTGGAATCTTAGACTTTCAAGGCATTTGTTTTTTAGTTCTTCTTATACTTTGGATTTTCGTTTAGTACTGCGTATCAAAGTACGATGAAAAAATATTTAGCTTAAAATATTTTTTCAGGTTGATAGTATGGCTATAAGCACCTTAAATATAAATTATTATTTTTACTTATCATAATCGCTATGAACTGTAGTCCAAGCTCCGGAGGGTATCAATGAACATATGTGACTTTAGGTTGTATGAGGTTCGAAGTTTGAATAGCTGAGATGGATAGGGCTTATGCCTTCGGCGGCCTATTTTGGTGATTTGGGGTTCAATTCTGATTGCCATTAGATCTTTTTTTTTTTTAACACAATTCAGTATTCTATTTCAATTTCTTATTGCAACTTTCATTTTAATTTATGAATATTGTCAACACTTTTTTTTCGGGCACGTTAAAAAAATTTTATTTTTAATACTGTGTCACGTACATAGAATCCTACGCATCAACTGACTATTAAATAATTTATTACGTTAATAGTTATAGCTGGCAAGGCTAATTCATAATTTTAAAGTTAATAATTTGAATGATAGTAACATTTATAACTAACTAAATACTTGGTAGATCATAAAAATCTTTATGTGCGTATTCGTATGCTTGCATGTGTGTGATCTCAGAATTTTTGACCGATGTCAATGATTCAGGACTCAGCAGGATTACTTTTTCATATTGTTACGATGGCTTGGGAAAAACAATCGTCATAGCTTTTTAAGGTTGTCATACCTCTTGACGATTTCTTGATTTTTTTAA